GGGCAGGCCAGGCCTGAGCTGAGGAGAGCGCCGTGGTCTGGGGCCGTCCCCCCCCTCCGCCCCCCCCCGGGTTCCAGCCCCTCGCTGCCATTTTCCTTCCCCCGGGGAGCGGCGATGCTGCCCGCCCGCAGCCGCCTGGGGCTCCTGCTCCTCGGGGCGCTCCTCGCCCTCGTCCTCTACGTCCTGCTCCCGGCCACCCGGCACGGGCAGCACTCGGCGGGTGCCCGGCCTGAGGAGGGGGAGCGGGGCCGGTGGGCCGCCAACGCCACTGTGCGAAGGGGGATGGCTGCGGGGGAGCCCCCCGTCTTCTACCGGGAGGTTTCTTCAGGGCCTCGGGCCAGCAGCCCCGGGAGGTGGGTCACCACCGGCTCCTGTGGCGGAGGAAGGTGGAGGGGTGTCGGGCCCTGGGGATGGGTCCTGGACAGCCCTCTGGACACCTACGGGTAGGGCATCTTCCCTGACCCCCCTCCCGCCTGTCTTCCCCACCGCAGGCCCGATGTCCTGTTCCTGCATGGCCAGGCCTTCACCTCCAAGACGTGGGAGGCCTTGGGCACGCTGGCCCTGCTTGCCGGAGAAGGCTACCGTGCGGTCGCAATAGATCTGCCTGGTAGGACCGTGGTGCTGTGTTTAAGTTGATCCCTCTGGGCAGCTCCAGTCCCTCAGCTCAGCCACCGCTGGGCTCTGGAGCTCTTCAGGCAGCTAGCGGGGGTCCCTGGGGCACTATGCCTGGGATTCGGCTTTCCTCTGGGACGTTGGCATCCATGGCCACCCAAACCCTTTGGTTGTGGCTGGCACAGAGCTGTGGCTGTACAACCCTGGGGCTTGATGGGGTGTCTGGTTTTTGCCAAGCTGGCTGAGCCTCGGGGGGGAGAGACCATTGGAGGCTGCAGAATCCCCCCTGCCCTGTGCCCACTCTGTGCCCTCTGCCCCATGCCAGGCTATGGGGATTCACCCCCAGCGGAGATGGTGGCCTCGGCGCAGGGTCGGGTGGCCTTCCTGGACCATGTCCTACAGGAGTTGGGCATGCAGAGGCCCGTTCTCGTCAGCCCGTCCATGAGTGGCCGCTTTGCCCTGCCATTCCTCCTGGCACGGGGGGACCGGCTGGCCGGCTTCGTGCCCATTGCACCCGTGGGCACCAAGGACTACACTGCTGAGCAGTACCAGCAGGTCCAGGTGAGGTGGGTTGTTGGGCTCTTTGGGGGGTCCCTGGGTGCTGGCAAGCCTCATGGGCCAGCTGGCTGGAGGATGGCATGGAGGGTGGCCCATTTTGGGGGGGCCTGTGCCTTCCCCATCTCTGGAGGGGGGCTGGCACCTGCCTTCACTTGGCTTTGCAGCCCCCGTGGTGATGCGTGGAGGTGGGCACAGCCCAGGGGAAGCTTGGTGGCCATTGTCCCTGCTGACAACTGCTCTGTTTTTCTCTCTGCCCATACCCAAGACACCCACCCTGATCCTGTACGGTGACCGTGACAAACACCTGGGTCTCCAGGCCTTGCAGAGCCTCCAGCACCTCCCCAGGCACCGGGTGGCCGTGGTGCCCGACGCTGGCCATGCCTGCTACCTGGACAAGCCGGAGGACTTCCACCGAGCCCTGCTGGGCTTCCTGCACCAGCTGAAGTGAGCGCCGCCTCATCCCCTGCCGAGGAGAGGACAAGGGACCTGGGCGTCCTGAGGGGACTGGGAGGCAGGGGTGGCTGGCGTGAGGGGTGCCCTTCTCTTTTGGGGGGTCCCCAGGGTGGCAAGGGGTAGGACACCGATGGTGTCCCTTGTCTGTCACGAGGCCAATAAACTGATGCTGCTCCGGTTTCTGCCTGTGTCCCCAACCGCTTCGGGGCTCCCCGGGTTTCATCTCTCTGCCTCCAACGTGGGGTCCCCCCGCCAGCCCCCTGCCCACCTTCCCTTCCGCCTTCAGCCCACCCTGTGCCCCCGGCTCCTCCCTTGCCCGCCCGTTACCGGCTGCGGGGCGGTCCGGGGGCGGAGCGGAGCGGGGCCGAGTGGGCGGAGCGGGAGCGGGGCCGGGCCGGGCCGGGCAGCCGCCGGCGGCGGGGAACAGCGCGGAGG